TACCTATATAATATAGCTTTATTTAGCTATTTTGGAATAAGTTTTTGTTTTATGAAAAGCAGACAAAAAGTCGCATGTAAATTATGGCTGGTATATTTTTTAAAAGGTTTGATAAAAACAGCCTAGGGCATAGAAATTAAAAACTTTGTTTCTTTTAAACACTTTTTAACCAAAAAATGTATCTCCATTGTTTGGATAGCTGGAAGTGCGGTGAGGCATGACTATGTGTGATTGCCTTGCATTGTGCTCAATTATAAGATTTATAACCAATCAATTATCTTGTTCACCAAAACTGCTTACTCCCAGATTTACTGTTAAACATAGCCCCAAAGCTCTTATATCGTTGAATGCAACTGAACAAAAGGAGAAACATTTTTATAAGTAGGTATTTGGTGAATTGTTTTCTGTTGATTTCAAAGTTGAAAACTAATATTGCCTCATTTTGCCACTTTTTGTCTGCTCTCCATAAAACAGAAATTTACTCTGAAATAGCTAAATAAAGCTATATTATATAGGTAAATAAAGCTATATAGGTAGATTTAGCTATATAGCTAAATATACAGGTCCAGTCCAAAGACTATTTCTACCTACGTAGGTATTAATAGCTACCTAGGTATTTAAAGCTACCCAAGGTAGCTATTTTTACCTACTTTCTGCTTACTTGCATTTTGTGGCCAAATGCAGGAACGGCGCAACATGGTAAGCACATAATTTTTTTGATACAGTCACACTGATAATAAATATGACAAAAATTTGGCCAAAAAAAGAAACCTTCGTATATCATCAATTTTGCATAGAAACTAATGTAAAATTGCCGATTCAGGAAGTAATCATTTTTTGGCAAAAATTTTGTCATATTCATCATTAGTGTTATCGTATCAAAAAATATGGTATTCCACATGTTGCGCCGTTTGGTATTTTGGTCGCAAAATGCAGAAATTATATAAAGTAGGTAAAAATAGCTACCTGGGGTAGCTTTAAATACCTAGGTAGCTATTAATACCTACGTAGGTAGAAATAGTCTTTGGACTGGACCTGATATATATTGTGATTTTCCTGGACCTGGTTATAAATCTGTTACAAGATGTCTACCCGCCAGTACCCATGGGCCATAGAATAAAAACAAAACTTTAAGGTTCTTCAAATCAACAAACAAATTTTCCAGTTAGCCTAGCGAGCAAAGTTCTGATGTCTTTCAGCACGTTCAGAGATAAATGAAAAATTCCTGCAATGATCTAATAATCAGATAATGTTACTAACGCTGTAAGCCCTCGATATCTCCTTTTTTTTCCTTTAGAGAATATCATAAGAAAATCACTTGCATGCCGAATGTGGTTTTCTTGATAAATACTTACTTACATTTCGACGCAAAACGATAATTTTGGCGTTTCGATGCTTCGATTTATTTACACCGATTCTACATTTTTAGCATTTCGAACCCGATGATTAAAAAAAATTAAAAGCGAAATTATGTGTACGCATGACGTAGCTATATATATAGGCTACATGTTTATTACTCTTCAAAAAAGTCTGATATAAGTACGAGGGTTGATCCAAAAGTAATGTCATAACTTTGATAACATTACTATAAATCGACGGGAAAAAATAGACAAAATCACGATCAAAACATTTTGAAAACCTTTATATTTTGTTGACCTATTGATGATGGGAAATTATTACTATTATATAAATATTATTTGATTTTGAATTATTTCATTTACCAATAAACAAACGATATTTTTTTGAATATTTTTAGATTTTTATTTTCTTAAAATAATTTCAAAAGAAACCACACAATCTTTTCAGTTCCCATTACCGGCGGCGTCTTTTTACATGTACGTAACACCTCCCTATGTACCTGGTCCTAGTTGTTGTTTTTACAATTTACTGACACATTTAAAAAAAACGGTAGCTGGAGATCACTTGAATATTTTAAAATATATATCATCAACCTGAGAAGATTAAATTTTGGACCCCCCCCCCTCACCACACATACAATAAAAAGTAACTAATTACATGTATAAAAAAAAAATGATATTAAGAAACTAAAAAATAAAAGCGAATATTGTAAAGATTTTTATAAAATTATTCTTATTCGTCTGTCTTGAAAAAAACCCATCAAAGTATATCTTTTTTGGGAATTTTTATTATATATATACATAAAAATTAAATATTACGTACAATGTGTACTTAGAATAATATGCTATATCACCATAATAAAATAATAAGTTGAGATCCCGAAAAAAATAACCCAAGTCCCGAATCGTCTTTACCCAAGTCCCGAACCGTCTTGTCGCTAGTCCCGAAACGTCGTATTAGTCAGGTCCCGAAACGTCGTGGTCCCGAAACATCTTGCACCCATATAAAGTCATATGACTGATACGCACCGTCATACTTTTAAGCGTTTCCCCTTCTTTTCATAAAAAATACCCGGACCAGCCATGCATTTCCTCCTTTCCTGTTACATACTTAATTGATTCTCAAACACTTTCACCAATTCAACTTTCTTGTTATTATTGAATTTTTGGTACCATTATACATTCACTCTTTTCATTATGAAGTCCCCTGTCAATTTTTTTAATACTAGCATAAGCCAAATTTAAAAATTCACACGTCACCCTATACATCTGTCTTTGTTGACAATGTCAGACACCATTGAACGTTTCCGTCCGATCTCTTATTATTCGGTCTTCTTGTCCTCTGTTGATCATTCAGTGACCAATCACCCGCCCAAAATTTCTGCAACTATTTCTTATGATGTCTCTTGTTTACATTATTTATTCTGTAAGTCTGATTAATTAAAGTAATAGTCGCTTGTGATGATTCCCATATTTTGAAACAAAAATCGATTACGACCCCTTTAGCCGTTTTTTCCCATTTCGACAATTCCTTTGTTCAATTCAACAGAGTAAAATAAACAATGTTTATGATCACATATACCAATGCTTTCATTAAATTGGGAGATAAGGTGCATTTTAAGAATCTTTTTAATGTGTCTGCCTTTTTTATTCTAAGAAAAAATACACTTTAAAACTTGACATTCCGTTGTGACGCGGCGACACCCCCTATGCTCTGTGTTTTAAACATCTGTAAAATAAGTCCTAATAAACATTGTTAAATTAAAATTTCAGTGTTATTTGTATTTTTGCAACTTTTGGTATATTGTGTTTGATAATATGACGCCAAATGTAAAAGATATGGACACTCTGACATTACTTTAGGATCAACCCTCGTATGAATGTATAGCAGATTTCTGGCCGCATTTGAAAAACTGTAAGAAATATGAATTTGTTTTTCCTTGCAATGAATTTTACATTCTAATGACCGATACACTCTGTCAATATAATTTTTTTTTCAGGCAAGAATGACATGCATTGATTAATCATAATTGGAGAGAGATAATGTAGGGTAGATGGACAGGAAATCCTTGACGATATGTCAAATACCTGGGCATCCTTGTCATCCTAAAAATAGGGGAATCATGTATAAATTAAAATTCCCATTTATATCCAGGTTAATTCCATTAAAAAAAAAATATTACTTTTTACATCAACATGGAAAGATAAACATTTCTTTTAAATTGAAAATGCTCACAAAAAGTCTTATATTTCATAAAGTAACATATGTATATACCTATAATATTTCTTAAAAATTCAAATCTTAAGTTCATTCTTTAAGTTAATCACATCTTATATATAGAATGCCATATACGACAGCCAACTGCCAACTGTCAACTGCTGACTGCTTACTGCCAACTGTCAGCTGCTTACTGCCAACTGCCACGCATATTTGAATAAATTTTATATTTGTATTGATATTTATATGAATTTTCACCAAAAAAAAAAAAAGAGAAAAAAAAGGCAGGGATCCAGGACATTTTTTTCCAAGGGGGTCAGTCTGGTAAAATTGAATTGAATAAAATGACCAATATGTTTTGTCTTATGTAAAATATGCGGTTGATAAAGTACATTGTTTATTTTTTTTGATTTGTTTTCCTATTTGAAATAGGTAATAAAATGACTATTTTCTGCTTCTAATCTTTAAAGAAGCCCCCCCCCCCCCCTCCCCCGAAGACAACAAAACCTTTGAAGAGAGAATAAAAACAAAAAAGATTTGTCGTTTCGCAGAGAAAGATGTTTTGAAAATAAATTTCCGTTTTCCGTTATATTCTATAATTAAAAATGTCCTCAAATTAAAGATGTATATCTCTGCGTGTTATAATGTTTCACATGCATAGATTGGGGGAGGGGTTTAAAATTTTTACAGTCATTCGTTAAATAAACTAAACGAACTACCTGTATAACTGACCTTGGACCCTCCACTTAGAAAACGATCTAGAGAGAGGGGTCCGGAGCACCCCTCTGAAATTTGTAAAGTTATTTAATGCACAAACTAAACCAACTAAAAGTCATTTAATGTATAAAATAAATCAACTAAAAGGGACCTTAGAACCCCCCCCCCCCCTCCTCCCCGACCGAAAATGTGGATTCGTCTTAAATTGGTATGAAAAATGTCATACACATGAAGGTATGACGCATAAGAACCCCCTTTCCCCGGCCGAAATAAATTTTCACATTTAGGAAAGGACTTTACGTATTTTTTTTCTTATCACGAAATTTCTGGATTGGATTTTTTTTTTACCAGACCCTCTTGGAAAAAATGTCCTATAGACCCGCGCCTTTTTTTTTTAATTTACATAAATATCAATCTAATAATAAAATTTATTCAAATATGTGTGACAGTTGGCAGTAAGGAGCGGACAGTTGGCAGTAAGCAGTCAGCAGTTGGCAGTAAGCAGTTGGCTGTCGTATATGGCATTTCATATAATGTAGGGAATGCAATCTCAAATATATTTTCAGCAAATGAGAATAAAAGCACAGTTTTATCGGATCATCTATTTTTGGATCCACATGATCAAAAGAATTAAAAAAAACCATTTAAATACGTGTGCACTAGGCCTACATACAGATACGTGGGGTATTTAAAGAAAAGGTGAAGGTCTTCGAGGGACGCCACATATAGAAGGTATAGGAAGCATTAATTATCTCTCAGATGACGGTTAAGTAAAGGACCTGATTTCAGAGATGTAGAGAAATTATTACAAGAGGTAAAATATTACACGCATCTGAATTATTTTTATTTGAAATAATATAATTTTTACGATTATAAAAAATATCTAGTTTCGTTTTAAGGTGAAATGTCACTAACATTTTTTTTGCTGTTTTGATTTTCATTAACTAGAATAAAATTAGATTCAAATCGAAAATAGTATGAAGCGTTGTTTACCTTTTCAGAACTGAATATAATGTCTAATCATGATCATGATACACTGTATGTGGAAAATATGATAGAGTACTAGTAAATATGAAGATTTAAATCGATCATGTTTATTTCACAAAAAATAAATTATATATCGACAAAGTAGCATGCTTGTTTTATTAAAGTAAGAACTACACACAGAAAATTAAAAAACAAGGACATTCATGATAACGTTACGTTAATCATAAATTTCTGTCAAATTGTTAACATTTACTTTTTACACAAATCACTGGACACAGATCTCGACTGACAATGCAATGATTTTTGACTTAGATGTGCTTTTTTTTTTAATTTTCTGAACAGAATTCTCTGGATTATAGTTTCAATGTTGTTCATTAATAAACAAAAACATCATATATTAATGAGAGTCAAGAATCTGTACATAAAAAATAAATAGATGTAATTTTAACACGTGACCTTTTCTCCCCAATATGGAAAATCTTTGATCAGTATTAGATCCTCTGAATTTTAGTTTGGAAATAAAGACACAATTAAAGAACATTTTTACAAAATAGATTTATCAGGAATCTGTCTGTGTTTCAGACCTAAAGTTCTACGCATAATTGAAAGGTAGGGGGGGGGGCGGGGAGGGTAAACCAACAAAAAGGTACGCTCCAATTTTCAATGCCTATACTATGTATATATTTGCAAAAAAAGGTCTTTTAAACATTATAGTTTCAGAAAATAATGATTAAAGTCTTCAAATATATCAAATATTATCAGACATAGGCATATATTATATTTCACCAATATTTATTAGAAAAGTTAAGATGTGTTTAAGGGGGCTCTCTACACCTGTAAAGTATAACTGATTTTTGTTGCATGCATTTGCTTCTAATAATAGGCCCCATATCCGATGAAATAAGGTTCCTTAGTATTTCAATTTATTTTTTAGAAATATTTGAAATATTTAATTTATTTTGTTAAAATTCCTCCTATCTGTATTTTTAAAAGCCCAGTGCTTTAAATTTCTCTTCAATTATGTACTAAATTGTCTGATAAAATTAATCATTATTATTCATGGTAGCATTTTGAAAGTGTTGTCAAACAGAAATACTCCACCAAAGGAATTTACAAAAATCCAATTAGTGTCTAATTTTGTTTCTTACTTTTGGACAGTGCTCTCATAGGCGTAGTCAAGGGGGGGGGCAGTGGGGGCACTAGCCCCCCCCCCACCTTCAGATCGGGGGGGGGGGGGCAAGATGATGTCTGTGCCCCCCCCCCACTTTTTAATAATAATAATAATCTTTATTGCATATTACACTCATATGGGTCAAGCAATACAAAAAACAAACAAAATCAATGAGAACAATGAATTATATATACAATATCCATATAGAAATTTATTCCCTAAATGTTACACCAATGTGGATCTTTTAGTTCTCAATTCTAATAATTGTTTTATAAAAGTGCAAACAGCCGGTATAACTTCAAGTTTTGGACTTAGTATATATTCAAGTTTCTGAGTAGGTGATTTGAGGTAGAATGAAGAACAATTATCTAACATAGCTTTTATAAGTATATTCCTTGCTTGTATATTTAAGGAATCACTGTCTAGTTAGGAGAGTATGCCAGGGCATCAACAATAGTGGGAAACATGGGATAATTTGCATAACGGGAGAAGCCCGTTATGCTTAAATTATCCCATGTTTCCCACTATTGTTGATGTCCCTGGCATACTCTCCTAACTAGACAGTGATTCCTTATATTTCCATTTCATTGTGAAATAAAATGATAGATTCAGACTTCAAAATGTGGAGATAGATTTAGATTAAACTAGAACTCCCATGCGGATTTCAATAGTCCTCGCCCACTGACGCCAGACACAAAGGAAGCCGCACGAGATTTACGTGCATATTTGGCCTCCTTAGCATCAAGCACAGAGACAGATGCGCACGAGATTTGCATGCGTTTAAGGCCTTCATAGCTCCAGACCTATCGACCTGTGTAATTTACATTCCGGTAGAAATGTCAAGAAATCAACTCCGGTAACTTTCAAAGGGTTATCACAGAGAAAAAAAATTAGAAATGGAAATATTCAAGCTACACTGTATAGAAAAAAATGTGATTCATCATCAGTAGTATTACATGAAGAACATAATCTTTGTTCTCGAGGTATTTTCTTATGTCTACCAATTTCTATCATTAGGCAGTGGTCACTTGTTCGAAATTTAGTTAGCATTTGTCTATTCTTAAAACTATTTTCAAGCATAAGATACTCTTCCATATCGACATTGTGTTTTATTTTACTGTACAAGTATAGTTTTGAATTTTCTGTTAATTTTCCATAGTTTTTTCTTTATAATTATCTAGTACAATTTTCTTTTTAACTTTCTTCTTTTTAACTGAATTTCTAATTTTGTCAAATTTTTCATCTTTTTTGTTGTATTCATTGCTATTTAAATTATTTTCTTCAAATAAAGACATTGCAAGGGTATGCCAGGAGTAAAATCCTTCTTCATGCATAGATATATTAATATTATATGATTCTTTAATCAAGGGGTTTACATTTTGAGAGTTTAGCCGTACAAAGTACATCATGAAGAATAAAATCACAGCTATTTTGAAGTAATATTTAACCTCATTTTATGGCATTTTTTTATGTTCAACAAATGAGTAAGTAATAGTTGTATAATGTAGTAATTAAATCGTCAAGACCTCCCCCCCCCCACTTTTTTCCCCAACATAACCTTTACTGTAGGAAATGTTCATTGAAGAGATAGTTGCCCCCTTTTTTTGACCACAGTATAGTGATATCGAAGAATGTACCTTTGAAAAAGTTGGCCACTAATACACACCCACACACCCCCGAAATAGGATTTTCGAGTTTGGGGAACTTTCAATCTTGGGTTTTTTTTTTGCTTGTCAAAGAATTCTGAAGTTGAGCCCCACCCCAACCCCCACTTTTAAGTTTGTGACTACGCCTCTGGCTCTCGAGATATTGTAAAAATCATTTGAACAAATATCTTGGAGAATGTATACATAAACTCTTTTTGTATGAAAATTAAAAACAAAATTAATATGAAATAAAATGAATCATTATAAAAGATATTTTGACAAAGTTATTTTTTAAAAATCTTATTTGAATCTTTAAAAAAGATTACAGAGCAAATTGACCGGCTTCTGCTAGTTATCAATCATGTGAGTTCGAATTCAGTTTTTTCATTTTTATCCAGCTATTGAATACATACAGGTATTTAACTGGTTTAAAAATTTCAAAATTGTTCAATATCCACTCATCGTACATTAAATTCCTTTAAAACATTTAAACACAAAGGGAATAAAATATATATGAAATAGTGTTTTTTTTAAATAGCTTTAAAAAATCTTTTATAGCATGCATAAAGTTGTTAAATTTTGCTTATTTGTTTTCTGTTTTGAGGGTTTGTTTAAACGAGGAATCCCAACCTATAAAGTTTTACATTTTATATGAGAAATCAGTGTAAATTTAATTTATGCTATTTTTGCAGAATTTAATATTCAATTATACAATTAGGTTTTTATCGACTTCAATATCAGTACAACTATGGAAAGTTTTGTCGACTCTTGTCCACAAAACCTCACAGAAGCTATAAATGCATCTACAAGACTTGGCTGTGGAAGGGACAAATATAATAACGATCAGTATATATGTCTCCCTAACATCGAGAAGACTGGTCTAGTAGAGTTCTGTCACGATGGAATCATGGGGATAATACAAAAAGGTGAGCCACTAAAAATTTGGTTAGTCGAAAATCAATGATATAATTTAATTTAATTTAAAAATCAATAACAAATATTTATTCCACTTACCAAACATATGCATAAAAGATGAAAACTCAATTAAACATAGAACATCTACACACACTTTATTTATACATTCAAATCTGTCTTGTCATCATTGACAAAATCGGTCATACGTATTTAGGATACTGTTTGGAGACGACGGAAGGAAAACTGTTTCCATATGCCTGCTCAGGATTTTTAGAAGGCTGTCCAGAGGATGCTTTTAGAAACAATGAAAATTACAAATGTAAGGACCAAAACATATCTGTATTATAGATAAGTAACAACATAAAAAAAGACCTTCACACAAACATTCAATCTTCATAATTGGTTGATTTAGATCCTGCATGTCAAAGAATTAACACAGTGAACCGTTGCTATCTTGCCGATCCTTCCTGTTCAAAAACGTAAGTAAAGGAAACCCATCAAACAAATGTGCTTTTATTAGGTAATCTCAGATGACCCATTGCTATCCTTTTTCGTCCGGTGTCGTGCGTTAAACTTTGAACATATTCATCTTCTCTGCAACCATTCAACCATTTTCAACCAAATTTGGCATTAAGTATGGGTGAAGCGAAACAAAAATTGTGAATTTCGTGGTCCCTGCCTCCCCACCCCTGGGGTCTGAGATGTGGGACCAAAACCACTAAAATTAATACAATGTTTAAAAATCTTCTACTTTACTACTGGTTATCAAGCAGCCAAACTGTTTGCATGATTGTAATCAGTATTGAGTCCTCTAACAAAATTTTGAAATCCATGGCCCTGGGGACAGGGGTTCTAGTGCTAAAATGCGGTTATAAAGATTATATAGTGAACATGCATTATTTGTTTGAAAATCTTCCTTTCTGCTCCTTGGCATGAAATAAACTAAATAAGTACAAAGTAATGTTCAATAAGACTGCCTCTTTCAAAATTGTGAATTTCATGACCCCAGGGTCAGGGGTTCTTAGGTGCTATGGCTGAGCTATATAGATTATAAGTGAAAACACATTATTTCTTTGACAAAATGCTTTGCCCCTGCGTATTTACATGTAATAAAAAAACCAAATACATACATGTAGTTATGTTGAATAAGGCTACCTCTTCCAAAATTGTGAATTTCATGACCCCGGGGTTAGGGGTTCTGGTGTTAGGGCGGGGCACTATTAATAATATAGTGAAAATGCATGTATTATTTGAAAATCTTCTTCTCTGCTCCTGGATATTAAACAAACGAAACAAGTATATAGTTATGATGACCAAAAATGTGTCTTCCAAAATTGTGATTTCATGAACCCTGGATTGCGAGTTCTCGGGTTGGGGCAGGATTCTATTGATTCATTTGTATAATGAAAATACATGAATTCTTTAAAAATCTTTTTCTCTGTACCTGAGTATTAAATAAACTAAACAAGTACATAGTTCTGTTGAAAAAGTGTGCCCATTCCAAAATTGGGAATTTCATTAGCGTCAGGGTTAGGGTTTCTGGTGTTAGGATGGGGCTCTATGGGTTATATAGCGAAAAATTCTTTTAAAATCTCCTCTGCTCCTGAGTATCAAACCAATGAACTATGTACATAGTTATGATGAACAAGGATGCCTCTTACATATTTATGAATTTCTGGATCCCAGGGAAGGGGTTTGTGTGTTAGGATGGGGCTCTAATGATAATGAAGTGAAAATGCATGGATTCTTCAAAAACCCTTTTTGCTCCTGGGTATTATGTCAATGTTAGACATGAAATATGCCTCTTCTAAAATGGTTAATTTCAGGGCCCTTGGCTCAAGGTACCTGGGGTGGGCGCGGTTGTCACATAGTCTGAAAATAAATTAATGCGTTAAAGTCTGCTTATTTGGTATTAATCAACCTTTTATGATGAAATAAAATTTATAATTTTTTTTAAAAACAGAACCCTTAACTTAGATCTTGGTGTCTACAACACTACGGCAATAAATAATCAAACAACCACAAACCAGGAGTACGAATCCCCCGATATTGGTGTAATAGTAGGAGGACTGTGTGCTGGAGTGATTGTCCTCATCGTACTACTATTCTTAGGTGTTCTTCTATGGAAAAGAAAGCAAAGGAGGAAAAATAAGACATTAGAACCAAATCCAGGTATTCAAGGGTTTATTTGAATTTTGATGTACAATAATTTTTATACAAAATTCCTTTTTATGTCAATTTGACACTCAATGATATCACAATAGTGATCGAGTCCTTCTTGTTACATAATAAGATTGAATGATAAATTAATTACAACCCCCCCCCCCCTTATTTACCTTCTAATCCCCTTCCCGATTCTTTAAGCCTGAATTTTTAGTACACCTGAGTAGTAGTCTTTTAGAACTGAAATATTTTATATTAATTTGAAGTTTCTGGATCTTTTTAATTCCAATGTAGAAAAATGAATTCTTATATGTCCTCCTGAAAGGCCACGTGTAGATGAACATAACATAGCATTTTTCTACAATGTTTGACCTCAGCCAGTGAGAAGGCTAGGAGTTATCAATCATATGATATCATTTGATGTTGATATTGGATAAAATGTATAATCATTGGAAAGGATTAATGATATCTTGCCAATAATATGATTCTGTTTAGAGTCTTTCTCCTTCTTATCCACCTATTCACACACAAAAAAAACCATTTAGCGGTCAAACTCTGAAACATGTCATGGTCGTCACGCGATTTCTAGCACAGTAATTTTACAATGAATTATATAGCAGCTGTAGTGGTGCTTCTGTGTCGGCCGATTTACTTCCCTGTGATATTCAATATAAACTCGCACAATTCTATATAAACTAGCAGAAACGTCTGCAATAAAAATAGTCCATCTCATTTTTCTGCATTAATCTAATTTTCATAAATGATTTGAAAGTAATTAAATTGAATTTTATTTAACTTAACTTGAATAGCATATTTTTGTCATATCTATGAGAAATGACTCAAAATTTGATTTCCGTATGAAAAAGTAGTCCCAGTTTTCTGTAATTTATCAATCGACAATCCTCGGCTGACTCCACTACGCCCCAGTGCTGTTAAGAGTTTATTCTGAATAGTTAACTTTTTGATACGTAAGTTTAGTTCATTCTCTCCTTTATATACCAAGTGGTTTAATTGTTATGTCATTTAAAGGAATGACAAAATTTAGGAAAATCTTTGGAAAGGGTCGGAATTATCTAAAATAGAGCTTTTGTCTGCTGTCAGTGTAAGAAGCTGTGGAATACTTGTAACGCTAAAGTTTTACACAACTTCTTTTAATTTGTTCAAGCAATGAAAAGACAGAACAACGTTTCGTTTAAAAAATAGTACGGAAAAAAATCACTATCAGACATTTATTTTTTCTGACAAGTAAAATGATCTGTTAGACTGGAAAAAATTTTTGTCAGACCAGATACATGCAACTCATTTTTTTTAAAATGGTAAAGGGAAAAAACAATAGCATTTAAATGCTATTCAAGTTTTTTGATATTCGAAATCACGATTTTAAATGACATTAATTTTTAATTTCATGAATTTATCAGCATTTAGTTGGTCACGTGTTCATCACTAGAACTGAATTTTGAAAAATGTGCGTGGCTTTAATTAATAATTAATAAAACAATTAAAATGAATGAATGCATGTGTATGCAGACACAATGGTATATTAATCCAAATGATCAATGTGTGAAAACTCGTTCCTCGTGTTTTTAATTTTCTTGTAGTAGCCGTTAGACTATGTCTGATATTTAATTAAATTCGAGTTAAATCAAAATCACAAAAATTAAGTGTCACTCGCGTGGCGCAGTTGTTAAAATAGTTTGCTCAAGAGATTCAAAGTAAGGTGTTGATCCTTGCGTCGCACGTTCCTGTGGGATGCATTTTGAGATGAACTCTTTTGATGAGGCCATTATACACCGAAATCCTATTTCGCTGTAGGTGCTGGCACAAAACGACCCCTCACTGCTCAATGGTTGTGAGTGCTGTGTACAGTTAAAAATTTATAGACCTACATGTAGCTAACTCCATCGGCAAGTGGTAGTGTCTCAATATGAGTGAAAAATTATCGAACGTAAAACAAATAAAATGTAAAGTATTTAGACATACTTACTTCTATTTAGAAATCACTTGAAATGAAATTTAAAGTTATTTAATATTAAGATAGATACATTTGATAGAAAAGATAAGCACAGAATTCTGTAAAAATTAATTATTGTGTCCGAAAAGAACCATTCATACCCAAAAGAGAAAAGCAAATGCGTGTTTTAATCAGAGGAAGAAAAATGACAATCTAGTGTCTGTTGATGGTAACATCGAATATGAAGATTGTTTGTTTCTTTGTTGGGACCAAATATCTTCAAAAAAGAGTAGGGGGCGTTTTGATTCAAATGCTTCATAAGTATAAGGGCAGTGTTTGAGTAATAAATGGTACTAAAAGGAGATTGAATCCTACCCACAAAATAGTATTTTCGAGTTTGGAAAAACTATTTTTTTTTTGGTGGTGGGGGTTGTTTGTCTTGTTAAGTCAAATTGTTGTCAGGTTTTTATCAGGGAAGTTAAATTGTTTTTCTCTGCTCCCCCCTTCACACTTTCAAAAAACGGTGCTAAGTAAATTGAACTTATTTTTAATGCTTGGTGTTGTATCTCTTTCAAATCTGCACTAACTGACCTGTAATTAAAAGTAGCTGAAGAACTGCTGCTCTCCGAAAAAAATATTTTGACAGACAGCTACTGTACAGCGCCACCCATTGTAAAAACAGTACATTTATTGAACACGAAAAGTTGAGCTTAGTTCTGGATTAATCCTTTATAATTCTTAGCTCAATCGTGAAAAAGATTTATAAAAATCCTTTCCTCCTTGATGAAGTTCGCTTATATTTGACATTTGCACGAAGTGCGTTGGACCAAATTTTCTTGCAAACCAAAATTGCAGCAAAAATTTTTGAGGAAGGTGGAAGACGATGGTATAAATGGACGACATTTTATATGATCTCAATTTTTAGGCCAGATTAGGGACTGAGGGGCTATTAACAATACTTATAAGGAATGTTTTGTTGTGGAACAGTGAAAGAATATTTTAGAACATGTTAGTAATATTTTGATGTGACAATTAAAAAAAACATGGAAAAATAAAATTAATTGAGAACCAGCGCACTTTTTATGTGCAGTAAATATATACAGTTTTTTAGCTCACCTGAGCTGTAAGCTCAAGTGAGCTTTTCTGATCACCCGTTGTCCGTCGTCCGTCCGTCCGTCTGTCTGTAAACTTTTCACATTTTCAACTTCTTCTCAAAAACCACTGGGCCAATTTTGACCAAACTTTGTACAAAGCATCCTTGGGTAAAGGGAAATTTAAATTGTTAAAATCAAGGGCCAAGATCCCTTTCAAGGGGAGATAATCAAGAAAATACAAAAATAGGGTGGGGTCATTAAAAAATCTTCTTCTCAAGAACCACTGGGCCAGAAAAGCTGAAACTTATATGAAAGCATCCTGGGGTAGTGTAGATATTAAATTGTTAAAATCATGACCCCGGGGGTAGGGGGCGGCCACAATAGGGAATCCAAGTTTTACATAGAAATATATAGAACAAATCTTTAAAAATCTTCTTCTCAAGAACCACTGGGCCAGGAGAGCTGAAACTTATGTGGAATCATCCTTGGGTAGTGTAGATATTAAATTGTTAAAATCATGACCCCCGGGTTGTAGGGCGGGGCCACAATAGGGAATCCAAGTTTTACATAGAAATATATAGAACAAATCTTTAAAAATCTTCTACTCAAGAACCACTGGGCCAGGAAAGCTGAAATTTAGGTGGAATCATCCTTGGGTAGCGTAGATATCAAATTGTTAAAATCATGACCCCCGGGGGTAGGGCGGGGCCACAATAGGGAATCCAAGTTTTACATAGAAATATATAGAACAAATCTTTAAAAATCTTCTACTCAAGAACCACTGGGCCAGGAAAGCTGAAACTTATGTGGAAGTATCCTTGGGTAGTGTAGATATTAAATTGTTAAAATCATGACCCCCGGGGGTAGGGCGCGGCCACAATAGGGAATCCAAGTTTTACATAGAAATATATAGAACAAATCTTTAAAAATCTTCTACTCAAGAACCACTGGGCCAGGAAAGCTGAAATTTATGTGGAATCATCCTTGGGTAGTGTAGATATTAAATTGTTAAAATCATGACCCCCGGGGGTAGGACGGGGCCACAATAGGGAATCCAAGTTTTACATAGAAATATGTATAGAACAAATCTTTAAAAAAGATCTGCATCACCCAAGTTACTCAGGTGAGCGATGTGGCCCATGGGCCTCTTGTTTTTCAATGGGTGCCACTGTAGCTCTCCGGTCTATCAAAATTTTTTTTTTCGGAAAGCTACAGTTCTGCAGCTAATTTAAAAGCAGTCCCATCCTGGGATGATCTTTGCTATTCAAATACAATTGAAATTATTTTTAATGTTTCGTGTTGTATCTCTAACAAATTAGATCTAACTGACTTAAATCTGAAAGCATGAAAATGTTCCTCTACTTCCTGTGAGATCTTTCAGATTACCATGTACAATTCCCATGAGTACTTTCAGTACTTTGATTTTTATATCGTATTAATCAAGGCATAGCTGAATTTTGAAAAGTATATAAATACAAAAGCTTTTGGACTACCGTACAATTTTGGTGAATATTTTTAAAATAACATTTAAAGAATTTCGTAGTCTAAACACACGTAAATGGATGCTTGAATTTAATGGTTTTGAATGTATTGCATTAAGGATTTGTCATTAATGATTTTTTTGTTGATGTGTAGAGTTAAAAATCACGAACAGAAATGACACGTAATGACATTGATTTAAATAAATATTTCTAGAACAAATTCTAATTTTAATAAAGATCCATAATATTTATTTTAGAGACGATATCTTTTTTGGAAAGAAGAGAAAAAAGACACGAAAGTGACTCACATAAAAGACTTGAATGTACGTACATGTTGTATTCCACTGCTTTGTAACAAATATACTGAAAATGTTGGTAAGAATGACTATGATATTTTATTTCTGTGTATTACTATCGTAAATCTATATTTCAATTTAAATATAAAATGTAGAAAATATTGAACTTGAATTAATCATGTTATAATTTAAATATAAAATGTAGAAAATATTGAACTTGAATTAATCATGTTATATGTTATTAACAGATTATATCACCATCTAATTTGAAATACAAGATAATCTTTAGAAGAAATAAGTCAATTAATTATTTTGCTCATTTGTAAAATGATCAAATTATAAAGGAACTGTAGCTCAGATTTCATATAAGAATATGATTCATTTCATGAAGCAGGAGGTAAAAAAGGAAATTTTGAAGATTTATGGTTTCACTAGAGTAAAAATACATAATGCGAAGCACTTACATACATGTATAAGATCCCAATGATGCAAACAATGACTACTGCTTTATTACGTATCAACGATTTTTTTCAACATTCAAATGTAGCGATTTGTCATCAACGTATACGAGGGCTGTTCGAAAATCATTGAGTCATTGTGTATATTTTGCTTTCTAATGAACGTCTTTCGTTGAAAATGTGCATAAACGTTTGACACACAATAAGAATTAATAAAAACAACAAACATTTAACAAATATCAAATTTCTTCACTTCCATGATGTAAAAATGCTTCAATAGCATTGGAACCCGGAGCAGTCACGAAATCAGATATTTAAAATATGTAACACCAACGTTCTAACTCTTCGTGGATCCATAATTAGAGCGAAAATGATTTACTCAATGTAATTTTTTTTTTACTTTTTTTCAATTTCATGTTGTGCAAGTTTTTTTTAGAATTTTGATCAGAAATACGGAGATAATAGAAAACTGAAGACAACATATTCTTTTCTTTGCGCATCTTGCCAAATGCCAAAAAATAATTAAACAAGTTTTTCTATCACTTGAAATTAATTTTGTTAACAACTATTTTTGTAGCTAAGTATCGTTTGTCACCAACTTTGGCAAAAGCGAGGAAACATTTAATTTCATTTTTCCGTCAATCTGTCTGTCAGTCAGTATGTCTGACGTATAACTTTAATCTTGGATATTAGTTTTGAACGAGAAGAAGTAGAGCTTTCGTATATCATGTTAACTTAACTTGTGACAAGACAATTCAAATATTATACATTTTTTGATCCCGTGACCTTGACGTTTCACTCACTTTTAAAAATGTTATATTTGCTTCCAACTTTTGATTTAAAAAAGCTGCCTTTTATATTTAAAATGTGCATTATTTATGACAATGCCTTTCCAAATATACATTTACCGTGGTATTTTTTTTTAACCTTGACATTGGACTTTGACATATTTTTCAAACATTTTAACATAAATATTAAATGGACATAAAATATGAATAAAGAAAGAATAGGCTTCATATTAAATGTGTGTATAACCTGTAAAAGATTTTCCAAATGCATGCTTTTTGATCCTGTCATCCTGTCACCTCGACAATGAAGTATGACGTAATGTGGAATCTTAGGAATCTTGGGAAACCAATGTTCTTGGTTTTCATGGGTCATCATTTACCAGGAATTCACATCCTCACGATGTTTATTTTGCAAACATATTGATTCTTTGAACCATCGTATTTAATAGTGAAGTTACGTCCCCACGAACACGTACAATTTTGCCAGCCCAGGAACCTTGATCCCCAAGAATTAAAATGATTCCACAGTACTTATTAATTTTTGCTTGTAACTTTTGCTTTTGTCCTAATTTTTAAAATTTTAGATTTGTTGATTACTTTTAAATGATATGTGACAGTGAGTTCATTTTTGACAAATGTATAACCTGTGACAAATTGTTTCTAAGTGTGCTATGATATTTGACCCCGTGACATTGACTTTCAAGTTTCACAGAATTTCAAACATTTCAAAAGTGTAGCCAACTTTTGAAGACGCAAATATAGGGTATTCATATTTGACCTCTGCATTACCTGTGACAAGCATTTCAAATGCACTCTGATTTTAACCTAGTTACCATGATCATTTTTAAATATTTTAACATTGCTGATAATTTTTTTATTGAAAGAAGATACTTATGGTAGAACCTATCTCAAAGAAGTCTTTGTCACAAGATTTTCAAACTTTTCATAATGATAAATTAGCACTTGCTTATCAATCAGTTAAAAGCACATGACATGTTTCCTTGTTATTAAATGTAGTGCAGCCAGTTAAACATGGAATGATAATTACATATTGCGACTTCACAATTTCAGTCATTTTTAGGGGTACTTGTCATGCAAAGAAGACAAAAAATCACAAAATTACTTCTTTAAACATCGTTGTTTTAATTGTTTATTAATTGAACAGTATTTAACAATATTTCCCGAGAATAAATTCTTTTTTATTCAATTGACGTAAAAGATAAGTCAACATTTTTAAAACTATAGGCAAATGAACTCTATTTATTTCAGTAAATGTTCCACCCTACATTTGTAAATATTTTTCAAAAGTCTTTGTCACAATGTTTTCAATGTTTTATATGATAAAGAACATACCCAAATGATTACAAAAAGTGATTAAATTATATACATTCGCCTCTAACTAATGAGAGATAGATTATTTACCGATGTTAATGTTCTTGACCTTTTTGCACTTACACGGAATTTAATTATTAAATGAATGTTTGTGATTACTTTCACATTAAAAATGTTTATCAAAAATTGTACTTTAAATTTAAAAAGATAATATTTAATAGAGAATTGTAATCAAACTCCAAGAATATGAATAAGTAACAAATTATTATGAAAAGGAATGCACATCATTTCATGATAGATATCACACAATGTACACAGTCACGATTTACAACACGTACATCTTTGTCTTAGACACATTTCATCAAGATATTACAACTATTTAGTTGGCAACAGAAGATTTTTTTAAAGGATTTTTTGCATTCTTTGAAAATAGTTGCATACCTTTACATTATTACAGTAAGTTATATACAAAGTCATTGAAATTTCATTACAAAAGATAGCCTTGGATTTGTCAACTTAATTAAGGTCAAGATCAATTAATTGAACGGTACCTACAGGTTTCTCTAATTCAAGAAACATATTGTCATTAAGCATTTATAACCAAAAAATATAAAATGAATTAAGATTATTTCGGCATGATTTTAATTTGAAGTCTGTAAATGTCAAATTGCATTATGATTTTCTAACATTTCTATTGAAGCTGTAAAGTGGGGGGAAAAGTGACACTAATTATGACGTCATAATGGATCTAGCACAGGTTAACATATTCACTGATGATGTCATACGACGTAGGTTCTACGTTATGGAATGTTCATTTAACTTGTACATTACCAGTTTCAAGACTTTTCCGATTGTTGACTCTGGTTTTTAATATTTTATCACTTTTGCATTACATGTGATACGACCTTTTGGATGGTATCATAATAATTAACAACATGAACTTGATCTAGATGTTTGATATAGTTTTAGAAGCTATAAAATCTATGCCATACTTGTTATCAATTCAATAATTTATGTTTTTGTATGATGTCAGACAGGAAACTCAAACAAGAGATTATCAATATGCCATGAATAATGGCATCTCTCATTCACTGAGGCACCGAAAGAGAGGGACCACAATTCTTTGAATTTGCTTATTTATTTTACCGTGTAACTGTGCATTCACAAGATCAGCAACTGTTCGATTAAAAGTTCAGAAAAATATCAAAGAGCAAGATTGAAAAGTTTCGACGTCATATCTCTGCATTCTTCATACATTTGATTTGTTTTGAACCAAAAAGTTTCCCGGCTCTAAAGGTCCTCTATATATTTAAACCGAACTCATATTAACATTATTTTAAGATATGGGGACAAGGACACTTACTGAATGTTAAAGAATTACCTATTCAAATCCGTTAGTCCGTCAATTTATTACATTTTCATCGAAAATTTTATTGCTTTGGGCGTAATTAATCGACATATTAAGAAATAGTTAAAATCGAAGCCTCAAATGAGTTTTTCTGATCAAAATTCGTCCGTTGTCTGTCGTCATCGTTTCGTATACTTTTCAGATTTTCATCTTCGTTTCAAGAACCACTTGGTCAATTTCTACCAAACCATTTTAGGTAAAGCGCGGTTAATTTATAATAATAATGTATTATTGAATGAAAAAATAAGAAATAACTAATCAAATGAAAGAGCCAATGAAAACATATCTTCGCTAGCCAAGGGTTTCCGATTCGAAATCTTCTCTACAACCCTTGGCAGATTTGGCTGATCTTTTAAAACTCGCGCAAACGAATTTGATTGGCTGCGAAGTCCGAGTCTACGCAAGGTTTTTACTAATCGACGATTTTCTGTTCGTGCTTTATGCAAAATAAGAGTAATATTTACAAGGGTTGAAAGTAAGTACGTGATCTATGCTTAAAAAAAACCAAGGGATTCATTAATTTAATTTTTTAAAATTATATATGTTTTCAAGAATTATTGAAAGGACCACATAAGTCCGTGTTCCGCATTTTAGGTGCATCAATTTAAGCCAATCAAATGTCAGGCTCATTGATTATAATTGACACGGCAACAAGTAGAGAGTGGTGTCAAACTCTTTACCAAAAATATCCACGAAGAACGATATTTTCTACTACTTTTGAGGTGTTCCCACTGCCCGTAGCTGTATGAAGTTGTTTAGATATATTCCACATCAAATTGCATGGAGGTTGCTATATTGTTTCAAACGTCATATTGATCTACGTATGTTACAGCTATTTTCATTGCACAAATATTAAGAAGCTTCAAGGGACTTAACTCAATTACGGCGATAGGCGGCGCAAGTTCCCGTTTGATATAACTAAATCTGCCAAGGGTTGTAGATTAGATTTCGGATCGGAAACCCTTGGCTAGCGAAGATGATGAAAACATAGAGTAAAACTTTACTCAGGCAACTCAATCCAGATGCGCAATAGAACTTTAA